GACAGATTACTGATGATGATGATGATGATGATGATGATGATGATGATGATGATATATATATATATATATATCTGTCGTTGGCACCCATGCAGTCCTCACTGCACATTAAGTGGTGTGGGGCTAAGTCCCTTGTACTGCGGCCACTTCTGGCCTCATGTACCAGCCCCAGATGATAGGTGAGGGTGATTGTGGAGCAATTGGTGGAATGAAGATTGGCAGGGGAAACTGAAGTACTCGGAGAAAACCTACCTCAGCGCCTATTTGTCCACCACAAATCCCACTTGACCAGACCCGGGATCGAACCCGGGCCGCCGCGGTGGGAAACCAGCGACTAACCGCTTGAGCTATGCTGCAGCCAAGTTTTTAATTTAAAATCAGAAGTTCTTCAACTTTCTGATTACTTACAATACATTGATTGATGATTCCAAACCACTTTCTGGTAAAATCTATTTTCCGTGAAGTGTTGGGCTTTGTGAAGTTGTCAGATGCTGCCCACACTGTATCTTGTCTGAGTTTCGCTTTCATTCATCTTTATATGTCTGTTCCGAGCTGTAGTTTTTTTTTGTATGTTCCACATAATTAGGAGTATCCCCAATATCTCTTCCAGGTTTCTGGAACCCCTGGTATTGATAGATGATCGATAGATTTTGCTTACATACGTAACCGAATAACTAAAACTGAAGCTGGCCAGTTAAGTATCCAGTGAAACGGACGCTGTGATAACATGCTGACTGATTGGGCTTGCCGCACGTATCAGGTAGTAGACGAGTGTGGAGCGTTAGTGAAATGATAGTTGGCAGGAGAATATCTCAATCCTAAGAACAGGGCTCCAGTAACGCTGAAATAAAGTGTCCTGCCGAAAGAAGAGCATCAGTTTGGCAGAACAGCGAGAATCGTTTGGGGTCCGCTTTGAAGGCGATAATTTTACTGTCTTGACCTTAAGTTCAGACCTTATGACTTGTAACATCCCGGAATATGCTTACAAAGGAGTTGGATGTAGCGGTAGGGGTATTGTGGAGGTGCTTGGTTTGAATCTCGACCGGGTCACAGCTATTCTGTCATGTTTTTTCTCAGTCCAGTCATGTCAGCGCCGGAATAATATCTCGATCAAGCCACGACCGCTTCCTTCCAAATCCTTGTCAGTTCATTAGTCATCACCAGGGCCCGGATTTTGATGACATGTCATCTTTTTTTCCTTGTATCGTATGCGATGCTCTTAAATATATAAATTTTGGATATGAGCTGCTGCTTACAGAAATGTAAATTTTGTAGGTATTTTTTTGTCTTTTTTTGACATTTTTAGGTTTAAGATCTTTTTTTTTCATTTTGGGGGTAATTTTTTGGTATATTTTTGGACTTTTAAGGGTATTTCTTGTCATTTTTGGCCATTATAGGGAATTTTTCTTCATATGTTTTCTGAAATGTGAATAACATGGAAGCGCAGTGTTCGTTCTTTTCTCCTTTAGGTCATTTTATAGGTCATTTTTTGAATATTTTCAGGTCATCGGAATCAGGGCCCTGCATATTACATTTTTGGGTCATATTTAAGGTAATTTTTCTGTTTTTTTTTTTGGTCATTTTATAGGTATTTTTTTTAAATATTTTCAAGTCATCAAAATCCGGGCCCTGGTCATCACCATCCTACCGCTTGACAGAAATATTGATACGTAGTGAAGTAAGTTACAAAATAGAAGCTTCAAGTCCGGAGAATGCTTGGGTCGGGTAGGCACCCTTCTCGAAAGAGGGCCTCACTGAACACAACACATAATTGTGTTATTGAACTCTGTATGCCTTTGGGGATGGTTCAGTGTGTGGGCCTGCAGATATACGCGCGAGAGGAGAGGAGAGTGAAACTCGTTTGTGACTAATGAAAATCCCCCGATTTTTACAGACCTCTGAAGTGTCATAATTTATATTGCCTTGAATTTTTGGCAGTAATCCAACGCGAAGTGCATGGCGTTGTATTACAGACCTGCACGTTTGAGGAGATATTCTGTGGCAAAGAGTTTTTAATCGCGGGGGACAGCTACGAAATTCGTAAACACTGTTGGTCCCATATGAATGTAATTTTGAAATTTTAGGTTCTTACAGCGTCGAATAAAATCGCTGCTGTCTTTTCGGATGTGACACTGCATGGTCTGGTAGAAAAGTGCCACGCTTCGTAGGAATCTGCTGCAACCATTTTCAGGGTAGATAATTGCTTCTGGGATGCTTCTTTCGCCTAAAACATTGAATAAGAAGAATCGTGCATGTCTGAAAAAGTGGCCGAAACCTCGCCTGTACTTCCGGAAAGAACGCATGCCTTGAATTTCATTCAGAATCCTGGCCCTTATTAGGGCCTCTTTATAAGATTTCTTATACCTGAGCTTTACGGCTGGCGATACGCAAGTTCGCCTCCGTCCGGCGCACTGTTACCTTTTTCAGGATCGTCGTAACAAAACTTTACTTAACCTAACTTTTTATTGGCCGGGAATTTTACTTGGTGCCTTGATACTCCTCCTGGAAACATGTGCCATCCAATTTTCCTCCTCCATTCTTATCCCTGCTTTCCTAACTCCATTTTATGGCCATCGTCACCCGCTGCTCCGCTTCTTTTTCTCACTTCCCGATATCATGTACCGTCTTCTACCCTGAAGATGGAAGCAGCTCATTTCTCCGAAACATTGGTAGCCGTGTACGAAACTACATCCCAGAAGATCATACTCTTCATAAATGTGGTTGTTCCATAACTCAGCATGTTACACGTAAGGAGCTAAAATCTAACACGAAAAGTAGGCTTAAACAGATGATGAAGGAAACAGTAAACTTGTGAACTGGTTCGAATCATCTCAGAACTGGGCCCAGCATCAGGACTTTATGATTACGGTAATGGATCCTCGGGTTTATTGAAAATACAAGGGATGTCTTGGCGAGCTAAATTGCTAGAGGTTCCCGGTGCCATGAGGTTATGTGATTAGCCAGAAAATAAAGTAAGCTATAAAAGTTTACAACCTAAGAAAAGATGTTATAACCTGAGAATATATTCATTATTGACCCAGGTAATGACTGTCATGGCTGAATTGCCATGACTATCCTCACTTCCCTGCAGGCAATTTCTGATTCTCTTATACAGACCGTGGTTTCTTGCTTCCACGTCGTTTTCAATTTATTATTTATATTTATCTTGACTACAGATGTTGCACAACGTTCTTGGACAGTTGAGAAGTTATCAGACGTCGAAGTTATGGGACCTGCTATCTTAAACCTCCAGACGTGCTAGAACAGAATTGTAGGCATACTTTGACGGTTGTGGTGGTCCGGCTGACCGTGCCGGCTACGGTAGATATCCCCCGGCTGATCACAGCGGCCGCCTGGGCTGAGGCTCGTTGCTATCTTTGATCTCTGGAACGTTGTGATCGTGCATTCGAATCCTACTTGAGACAAGAATGTCTATCTTCTGTATTTGTTTTGTGCTATGTAGGTAGAGGCGATTGGCGGACCCCTTCTTCAGGAAGCCGTACCACTTGTCTGTAATGTACATTTCACAAGATAATTGTGTATGGGAAAGGCCTGAGGACATAATCCATAATAATAATAATAATAATAATAATAATAATAATGATAAGTAACGTGAATGATGGAGGTCTAAACAGTTACCTTACTGGACAGCATGTGTTGTTGCACTCTGCACGTTTTGTTGTAAATTTCCTGCATTTTGTTTTAAATCTTGTCATTTATTTTTTGGAGGTACTATTAGCGGTCTGAATATTTTGACAGTGAATTAAAATAAGCCACTGCTGAATTTTTCCCCTATAATTTCCAAGTAATCATCATCCTGACCTTGAAATATACTAGTATAATATATGAGCCGAGGTAACGCAGTGAGCTTAAATAATAAACATCGAAACTCTGCCCTGAGGCTCAGTCTTTATGTCTTCCGTTCTTTTACTCAGTCCTTCGCAAATTCCTGGGTGTCGTAGCACAAGAGAACTCACTGAATAGGATGCTGGGTGGGTACAAATCGCCATGAAGTAGACAAAGAAGCAAAGTAATCTGTTTTTAATCTTGATGTTCTCTGTTTCAGGTAAGTGGAGTTTGAGTGTATAACCGAGTGGCGAATATTAAGAGCACGGCGCAGCTGCTACTGAGTCTCGTCTTCGCTTGTACCAGGAAAGGAGAACCTTGCTTCCGGTGAGATTCGTCGACTTAAAAGTTTAGATGTAGCTATTAAAGCCTGCCTCATCCATTGACATAAGTTCTACTCGTAATTGTTTTATGTTTGAATGTTGTATACAGGTGTAGGGTCGAAAATTTTCCAATCTCGTCTTTTCTGCGACAGTCTTTCCTTTTCGATTTTTTTGCCAGCTTCCCCTTCCCCCCCTTCATGTTTTACATCTTTCAGTAACTGACGAAATCCTTCTTATTCTGGATCATCCCATATCTCTCTTTCCTATAAATGTGTACCCTAAGTCTTGCCAGTATCGTTGTAATGGCGTGTCGTATAATTCTGTTAAAATTTCTGGAATTTTGACTTCTCTAAAAAATTAATTTCCAGTTATATTTCAGCTTGCTTTTCCTCCAGTACCTCACAAAATAATGTAGTAGCCGATGCTTGGATTTTCTTGTTTCTCTTTATAACGGTCCATATTTCAGCGTTATGTTAGAATCTATTAGAATGTTGTTTTGGACTCATTCCTTGTATAAGTTGACGCAGTTTGATAACATTGATTGATGAATCAAACAACAGTAATTCCATGCAGCAAATTCCTTCTTACGAAACTGATAGTCACTCAGCTGGTAAAGAAGTTCCGTGGAATGCGATGGATCATTACCGTAAGAGATTGCCACTTTACTTCGCACTGAGCCAGATACCCTTACACCCCGTTTATTTAAGATTAATGTATTTAAATTGTCTATCGGGTAGAAAGGCTGCAACTCGAAGGGCCAATTGCGCAAAAATTTAAGAGCAAATGAGCCGTATTTCATGCGCATTCAAAGACAGTGGTCAACTGACTTCATATACACGTATCTTCAGCTTTCCTGTTTTTTGGGGGAATTAGATATCAGAATCATCGCTTTTATACTAAAGATTTCAAGAACATAATCTTCACTTTATTCTCCCGTTAACTTATGACTTCTAGGCCTGTCTAGCTGGTATCTAGTACCATGTATTTTTTTTATTGCTATTGGGGTGGGACTAAGTACCTTGTACTGGGACCATTTCTGGCCTACTGTACCAGCCCCAGATGATAGGTGAGGGTGATTGTGGAGCAGTTGGTGGAATGAAGATTGGCAGGGGAAACCGAAGTACTCGGAGAAAACCTGCCCCAGCGCCACTTTGTCCACCACAGATCCAACTTGACCAGACCCGGGATCTAACCCGGGCTGCCGCTGTGGGAAGCCAGCGACTAACCGCTTGAGCTATGGCGCGGCCTTTAGTACCATGTAGGACTCGGGCAAACCGTTTATAGGAAGATTATGAAGGGTTCCGTCGGTAACACTGGGGATGCAAGAGCAGACTCACGAGGTCATTGGATGACAAGCTGCCATCAGTACCAGACTTGCTGCTTGTACGGGCACCTCTCATGTCCGTATGCACTGTACAGTGTCAGTAACAGCAGCTGTATTCCCACTTCCTTCAGCATGCAGGGCGTGCATTCCATCAGTGGATTTTGCAACGGTCTGCCGAAGACAAAAGATTTTATTCGCGGACGAATCGTGCTTCGTTAGGACTGGAATCGTAACCAAAATGTGTGGTTTGATGAAAAGCCTCACGCGATTCCATCTCCCCTTCAGACACACAGTTTTCCGTCAACACGTGGGATGAAACATTAGGAAACTCATTCATAGGCCCTCACATTAGTGACCAGGATCGCCTAAATGTTCTCCGAATAGTGAACTATTGAAAGATGTGTCTTTCAATCCCCATCTTCTCATGTGGTTTCAACCCGACGGAGCTCCACATTACAGTCGTGAAGTGCATCAGTGGCTGCCCGAACATTATCGCGGACGTGAAGCTCCAGTTTTCTGGCCAGCACGCTCACCTGACTTGAATGCTGGCGATTTTGTTTCCTGTGGTATATTTCACAAGCAAGGTCTATGTGAGTATAGCCGATACTAGATCTGATTTAGCAGTTCGCAGGTGAAGTAAAGTATACACCCGGAATCTTTGAAAGCATGTGAGTTTATTTTCGCTCTGAACTGAGTTGTGTGCCCATGAATATGGCCGCCATTTCGAGCACCTCTTGTAAGCAAATAAAAATAAACATAGGAAGTACAAAGTATTTAAAGTGTGACCATGGAAGTTGAAATTAGAACAGCTGTAACATTTTAAAGTAAGTCCCTCCGGAATCATATCGATAAACTGTGTTACTTAACTTTGATGTCCAGGAACCAGCCTTTAAAATATTCCATGTACGAGTAGTAATGAAATATTCTGTACAACACCACCTGCTTTAACATTTAAAAACTTTGCATTCTACACAAACGATATATTTATGCGTTTCGCATTGTGACGTATAGACCCACTGATAGGCGACGACTCGGTAAGCACATTCCCGCGGAAGCGTACGCGCGCAATAGGACGTCCATTGCTAGGCAACGGATCAGTAAACAGTAGAGAGGCTGTGTTTTCTACGTGGTCCATGCCGAGGGCTTATAAAGGGACAAATAAAGTCGATTGATTGAGTTGCCAAGAATTTGTTCGAGTTCTGGAGATGTCAGTCCATGATGACTGAGAAGAAATGGCAAGAAATGAATTAGACGGTGCAAAGAAGACTTGAAGTGTGATTTGAAGTGACAGTGATACCGTTATAAATCCGTTGCCAGGATACGACTAATGAAAACTGAGGACCGTAGTGTGTGTGTAACGATGAACTGTAAAGTGTGTAGATCAGCGATAGCGCTGTAATTGTCTGTAGTGAATAAGGTGTCAATAAATCCAATCATCCAATCAAAAACCCATCTTGCAAATCGCGCAAAAACCCCTAGACGTGACACTACATCTATAACAATAACAACAAGTATTTCCTTAAACATTGTTAACCATTAAGACTCTGTAGTATAGATGCGGCATATATTCTGTATCTTTCTTCAGGTCTCCCAAAATTCCGTCTCGCTCGAGCTTCTATATTGTAGTCCCCTCTTCAGAATGTTGTTTAGATCATTGTCGCTCCATAAACGGTTTAGGACGTATGTCAACTGCGTTCAGTTGACTGGGGAGGCATACAGTGGTGGGTTATTTTCAGCACAGTAATGAAAGGAGGGCCGGCCACGGTAGCCGAGCGGTCTAAGGCATGTACTGTCTTCGCTCGCTTGCAAACCGGCATCGTGGGTTCGAATCCCACTCAGGGCATGGATGTTTAGTTTGTGTGTGTGCGTTTTTCTGTGTTTGTGTACAGGTAGATGCCTTGTGACGAGCTGATCGCCCACCCAAGGAGTCCTGCCGAGTGTGTAAGATCTAGAAAAACCGAAGTGAACGGAGTTCATGGAGGTAGGCCTAGGCCCACTGGGGCTGTAGTTCCAAGGAAAGAGAATGCAAGGAAGGGGATTTGTAGCTGCGCGATTAGTTGCTCAAGGAAGAGTCTTCGCCATGCAATTATATTGTAATGATCCATTTGAGCTTCTCCCAAGAATATGTTTCTGAATGGTTGAAAGTGACGAGTTTCTTATCTGAATATATCTTTCCGGGAAATTCAATTACACCTTCAAACAGACGAAATTTGCAGTCATTGTCTCTTAACATGGACTTGGTTCATTAATTAAATTCGGGTCAGTGAACGTATCAGACAACGCTGCATACTCTCTCTACTCAAAGCTTCGTGAAATAACCTAAAAAGCAATTTGGATATATCGGAGACCGAGGATATAATCTGTTTGCAGATAGTGTCTTTGGTGACAAAGACTCCTTAATTGCATACTGTTAACCTTTGTTGTCACGGTTAATTAATCGTTGGGCTCTGTTAAAAATCAGTAAATTTAAAATATTGTATGTAAAGATATAAGAATGTTCAAGAAATTCGCATGGTGATTCAGCGAGCTGCTTCATTGGAGAGGAAAGTTGCAACGTTTCGGAGGCTGTCTGAACGTCAGTTATACCTGCAGGCCTGCCTGCAGTGACACGTCTGTTCGCCGGAGGAGATTCTGTTGTATTGTAATGGATTTGATCAACGCTTTGTCAAGCAACAGTTTGTAAACACGAATAGAGGCAACAGTAGAAGATAATCTATGTTTTCTATGTCGTCCGCGCCAGACAACAGTAGGAACGGGGTTCTCTATGACCAGTTGCTAGGTTCTGCACCGGTTCTCACAATAAAACTCTTTTCTTTCTTGGTCCCTGCTATATAATGAGATTCCAAGAATAACCAAGGCAGTTTAAAGCGAACTAGACTGCCGTTGCAGCGGAAACTACTAGACATAGGGCATAATCTGCTGTACTGAGCCTGGACTGACAGAGGCCCTTTATATATTTAACACATTCGTTATCATGTTTAACATGTAAAATGTAAATATCCTTTACGTTATGGCAAATGATTTACTACTATAGACATAGACAGTGACTCTGACAAAAGACAGATCCGTCCTCTTTTCAGAGAGGGCGCCCCACAATAACAACACCTAAAGTGTCAAACAGTAATAAATATCTGATCATGAGCCCCAGATAGGGCTCGACACCATGATTAACTGACTGACTGACCGTCAGTCGCAATGTGACTTTGACTAACCAAGGCAGTTGAGAGAATTCGCCTGGAGAAGTGAGAGTCAGTTGCCGGTAGGACATAGCCGCGGGAAGTCGCAGTGTGACTTTGACTTTGACTTTGACCAAGGCAGTAACCCGTGTGGAGGCGGGGTCGAATACCTCCACCGTGACCCTGCGAGTCGTAGGAGGCGACGAAAGGAGAAGTTTCAAATCTGAGAAAGTAAAATATGGTCGCGAGACCCAAGGGACTCGGACCCGAGGAAGACTGCGCTGGCAAGGACCAGCAGCATGTACAGATGACTCACCCGTCCTCTCGTCAGAGAAGGTGCCCCACAAAAAACAAGACCTCAACACTCTCGACGCCGAGACTTACTGACTGACTAACCGTCAGTCGTAATGTGACTTTGACTTTTTAACCAAGGCAGTGACAAAGTTCTGAGTTCTCGATAGAATATACCCACGGGAAGTTCGTAGACTCTCAACTAAGAAACCGAGCTCTGCTAGCCAACTGCTTTGACTCATTCTTGCTCAGCTTATTCTTCGACCCTGAAGATGGAGGCTACATGTTCTTCCGAAACGTTGACTCAACGGACTACACGGCTTTGTATCCCAGAAGATAGCAGTGGTTCAGATTCGTTAAATGAGGAAAGTGCCTACCGGTGATGTATATACCCACAAAGAACTGTGGACTTGGTGCTAGTCTTGAGGGGGATTTGAACCCGTGATCCCATTATTCCGTCTATCCAAGATCGTTCGAGGAGTGTCATCACCATTATTCTTTCCTTTATTGCTATTCTGGACAAATATTAGAAATGAAATCGCGCTATGTTTTTATTTGATATGCCTCTGATATTGTCTTTCGTGTCCTTCCTTAAACATGTTTCTATGTAGAAATCCCCTGGGCAAGGCAGAACAGTAATTAAGGCAGTTTTTTTTTTCCTTTGCGCTGCAGCCCCAGTGGGCCTAGGCCTACCTCCATGAACTTCTCCGTTCACTTCGGTTTTTCTAGATCTTACACATTCGGTAGGACTCCTTGGGCGGGGGATCAGCTCGTCGCAAACACAGAAAAAACGCACACACACAAACTAAACATCCATGCCCTGAGTGGAATTCGAACCCACGATCCCGGTTTCCAAGCGAGCGAAGACAGTACATGCCTTAGACCGCTCGGCTACCGTGACCGTCCCTTTGGCCAAGTAGTGGGGGAAATAGGGCGTGGAGGGGAGGTTCAATGACTAGGTGTGCTATGCAGGTGGACTAGCCTGTAGGTGCTGATGCAACCTCGGCATACACAGAACTGTGTTCTCGTTTATCCCGCTGCAGGACAAATTAAACCGAGTTGAGGCTCCACTCACACGAGCTTGTGACGTATAGACCCGTTGCTAAGCGGTGACTCTGTAAATAGCGGCCGTTGCTATGTAACGCCCTCTACATACACGCACGCAACAATAGGGCAACTGGATTATGCAACCTGTTTCTAAGCAACCGATCGGTAAACACACCTCTACAACAATAAAGGGGCTGTGTTTTCTGCGTGGCCCGTGCCGAGGGATTATCATAAAGACAAGTGGCGCTGCAGTTCAGGTGCGGAGTGTTAACTAGCGGGCAACGGCATGACCTCCATTGTTTTGAGATTCGTTAGCAGGAAACGTCTCATGAAAACATTACAAAAGAATAGCCATTGTTGAAAGCTCTTACCAAGCAACGGCTAGCGAAAGCAGACTGAGAAGACTTAGCGTAGAGTGATTTGTAGTGTGGAAATCAGCAATAATGTGACAGTGATTTGTAGTTCCGAGTGGTGTATACCAGTGGTCACTAAATCCAGTATCCAATCCATCCCCGCCAATAGTCACGCACGCCCCTAAAACGTGACAGTATCATAACTTGTAGTTATTTGGGTAAAAGGAAAAATGTAAAGTTCTCCTTGTTCTTTAGTAATCACTACGCCGTGAAGGCGTATGGCGGAGTGAATGTGTGACTCCACGCATACGTGATGTCGGCATTAGATGGAGGTGAGATCAGCTTGCCGTTCTTACCGCTTTCTCCTTGGGAAAGTGTTGTTCTAACAACTGATTAATAGGAAAGCACAAAATATTTTGGCGATGGGAATGTTATATTAAAACGAATGTTAGGGAAATTAATTGTCAGTGACTCGCTTGGAGTGGTCTAATGGTGGACTTCTGTGTTGATGGCGTCTCTGCTGACAGTGAGGAGGATGATGAAGACGATTGCTTGCCTGTGGCGCCCACAGCAGCAACAATCTTCATTCGAAACTGATTTTTTTCTTCATAAAACACTTCGAAGGACAGAGTCGTCTCTCGATAATCTACCCGCCCAGCTTTGGATTATGAATAGCAACAGAAAGTATCCCGTTTGGCTTGCCCCTTCATGTTTGCATTTAGGCATAGTCCTGCTTATAGGATTGGTGCGACAGATAGATCCTGCATCCTGCTGTGTTTTCGACAATCGTGTAAAATCTTCAAGATACAGACAAGATAGATACTATTGTATCTCTGCTATTTGTTTATTATGCGAGATATTTTCAAGAACACCGATCCCTTCTGAGTCACATAACAATGTAATTAAAGGGATTTCGCCATTCCCCTGTTAATTAAAATTATATGCCCGTTTCATGGATGAAAGTTACGCCCTTAGTTGGCCGCGCCATAGCTCAAGCGGTTAGTCGCTGGCTTCCCACCGCGGCGGCCCGGGTTCGATCCCTGGTCTGGTCAAGTGGGATTTGTGGTGGAGAATGTGGCGCTGGGGCAGGTTTTCTCCGAGTATATTAAGTAAAGCTATCCCTGTACCAGGCCGTGAAGGCCCATAGGGTTGTGAGACGTTGAGGCTCCCACATTATCTAGACAATCGGCTCAAAGATGACCGCACTTTACTCCCCAGGAAAATTATTTAATTAATTCCTGGTACTCATTTCTGTTAGAGGCTGAGTAAACCCCAGGGCCTAGTGCGGCTGGAAGGATTAGGTCAACTGAAAAAAATCCAATGACCTCATCGGGACTTGAACCCGCGACACTTAATAATATTAAATGAAGGGTACAGATATGAAGTTCCTAACCACTTCACTTCCTCTGTTTTAGGATCAATCCGCACTTTCAGAGTGAGAGGCCAAGTTTTACATGAATGGAAAATGGACGACTTGTTTGAAAATTTATCGTGACTGCACTAGGCGATGCTTTCTCAGTAGCGTCCTTGGTATGGCCATACATCCATTACATATTCTATGGAACAACTGCCACAGCGAATTTCCTTAATCGTGTTCCAGTTCTGCATAACATTTCTATGTAATGAATCAAATATAGAGCAAAGAACGCAGACAGGCTGTGCCCTTTAAGCGTATATTCACTGTACGCGAATACAGCGTAATAACATCACACATTCATCTGTTCTGCTTTGCAAAGCCCCACTTCTCTTTCGTGTTTTAGTCTTCTCCCGTCATGGGTATTCCTCAGTATTCCGGTTGAGATATAATTTTCCACCCATTTGGTATTGCGTTTAATGAGGAGCTTCATAACTTGTACGCTTCACCAAATATAATTAGAATGATCAAGTCAAAGAGGATGAGATGGGCAGGGCATGTAGCACGAATGGGGAGAAGAGGAATGCATATATGATATTGGTGGGAAAGCCAGAAGGAAAGAGGCCACTGGGAAGACCAAGACATAGGTGTGTGGACAGTATTAAAATTGATCTTAGAGAGATTGGATGGGATGGCATGGATTGGACTGATCTGGCTTAGGGTAGGCACCAGCGGAGGGCTCTTGTGAACACGGTAACGAACCTTCAGGTTCCATAAAATGCTGGGGAATTCCTGAGTAGCTGCATAATTGGCGGTTTTTCAAGAAGGGCTCAGCTCCATGAAGTTAGTTATTTTGATATTGCGCTCAGACTGCATATCACTTCATCGCAGGGTCGATGTGTGTTTACAGGGCGTGACATTGGAAGAACATCCATGTATCCATCGATGCCGCGAACGGGATTCAAACTAGCTATTCCACTGTTCGAACCATGAAAACCTGTACGGCCTAGACCGTTCTGTCAGTCATATGCTCGTTGAGGTACCTCAGGATGCGTACAACCAGCTCTCTTCGTGGAAGCAATGTGACCGGCAAGAGAGGACACTGCCCACAAGAAGGAGTGTTTCCGAAAATGGCTAGAGGAGGTCATGAAAGGTCATGACTTGCTGTGATCGTCATCGCAGTCAAGACTGAAGTTTGTACGAGGACCAGCAGAGCCGGGGACCGGTTTCCGAAACAACTCGCGCTCTTTGCGTGTTACTGCAGTGAGGATGGTGCATCGCCACGGAAAGCAGTCAGCATAACGACCTTGATCTCAAACACGTTAGCGCAGTTCATTTTTAAGGGTAATTTACATTTGGTTTATATGGCTGTAAAACTTGGTTTCTAGCTATAAGGGAAGAACATGGATTAAGGCGCCTAAGAACGAAGTGCTAAGCAAAAAATTTGAACCCAAAAGACATAAACTGGGACCGATCACGGTGTCCGTGCCGTCTAGGGCACGTAAGACTTGGATTGTGGGTTAGAATCCTACTCAGGGCATGGATGTATGTCCAAATCTGTTCTGTTTCGATGAACAAATTAGCCTATGCCCCATCGAAGGAGCCCTACCAAATGTCTGTAGGAGTTCAAGGAGTTACTTCCGAATTGGAACAAGGCTGAAGAAGCAGAAGAAGAGAAACTAACAGCAGAACGGAGAAAATTACATACTGTGAAAATAACACAAATGTGATCAATGCAGGAAAGCTGAGATGCGCCGGGCATGTAGTACGCATGATGGAAATGAGAACGTTTGCAACATTTGGTTGTAAAATCTCAACGGAAGAGACCACTGGGAAGCTCTGCCGTATGATGGGGGATCATAAGTGAATCACTGAGAGACGTGTCAGGAAATGTGGACTGGATAGATCTTTTTATCATAGCGATTAACCTTCGGGTTTCGTAAGGAAAACAAGTTGTTGTTTTTTTTGGCTGGCTGAGAAAGTATCAAATATTTAAGAAGACTCCGTAGTGTGTATATACTTAGTTAATTACCATCCAGAAGTGGCCGCAGTACAAGGGACTTAGGCCGACGCCACTAGCAATAAAAGAAAATATTTAATTACCATATTGGGCTTGGTCTTGTAGTGGAGTTACCCAAATGTCGGTAGTTCAAGTCCTGGCGCCATCCTTTCCATGCGATAGCAGTGACACCTTGTTTAAACAGTGAGCCGTGTCTGTAGCGTGTCTTTGAGATTTCGAATAGAAGCTTGTACCGTGTGACTCATGAGCAGCAGGCTTCTCCCACATTAAGCATGCAAACGCGGCAGTGGTATATAGCGATTGTGTTTGATTCTTAGCTTATCTAACTACTCTGCAGAGAATATCATAGGTTGAGGAGAGTGATGGTCCTGAGCAGTCCTGTAGTAAAGAGGCGGTGCTGGTTTATTTTATGGTAGGACTTCGAGAATTCTGCTTGAGAGAATGAGAAAAAGGGGGTAATAGTCCGACAGAGATTCGAACTGGATGCCTACAGAATACAAATAGGCGTTGCCATTACGCAGACCTGCTGGCTTTCTTTCCGTCGGTAAAATATTTTGCATTTGGTGTGCAGGAACTACGAACAGAAATTCGGCCCCGGAGTGTGCTTGTTGCTCCATTTGTTGTTGCACGTGCTTCAGTCACAGCCCGGGACGTTTGACTAGGCAGGAACGCCTCGGAGTCCTAGTCGAGATGGGCGAATTATGTCCGGACGGAAGCTGTCCCTCGGGAACTGTGGCTCCCGAAGTTATTTGCCGCAGGCTTGCTGGCCGGGGCTCCTGAAGTGGTTTCACCACTACATCCATAATCACCTCGTATAACGTGCGCTTTCGACCGAATAACGAATCCAAACTGTGCATATATCGTTACATTGTTCTTAGATAAGGCGATAACCAGGCCCCGGATTTTGATGACATGTCATCTTTTTTTCCTTGTATCCTATGCGATGCTCTTAAATATATAAATCTCGGATATGAGCTGCTGGTTACAGAAATGTAAATTTTATAGGTAATTTTTGTCATTTTTTGACATTCTTAGGTTTAAGGTCATTTTTTTCATTTTTGGGGTAATTTTTTGGTAAATTTTTTGACTTTTAAGGGTATTTCTTATCATTTTTGGCCATTTTAGGGAGTTTTTGTTCATATGTTTTCTGAAATGTGAATAACATGGAAGCGAAGTGTTCTTTCTTTTCTCCTTTAGGTCATTTTTCTGCATATTTTCGGTCATTTTATAGGTCATTTTTTAAATATTTTCGGGTCATCAAAATCCGGGCCCTGGTGATAACTTTCTCTTTTACATTTGAAGCATCCTCGTGTAACGTCTCACTTGTAGGGTTGGGGTGGATAATGGGGGTTTAAAGTTCAATGTAATTCCGAATTATTGTTGGGGTTTTCGTGGCTTATAATTTTCGAACCGGAAACAACATAATTAAACTGCTTACAGAATATGAAAATGTATCTAAAAAAATATATTTAGCTAATAATGAAACTTCTTGGGGTACACTTTCATATTCCATAAGCCGTTTCAATTTGTTGTTCCGGTTTGAAAATTATAGGCCACGAAAACCCCGACAGTAATTCAGAATCACCTTGTATGATTAATTGGCATTGGCTTCAATTTGCACAACGACATATTGTATACACAATGTCGCGTGTAAATTCTGCATGCTGCACATTCTTTGCACCTCCTTATGCGTCTCATTAAGTGATTGCGTCACTGAGCGAAGAATGATATGCACAGATCATACTTGCAGACTCGTATTCACGGATGTACTTGTCGCTTGAACATCAGGATATTTAGTAAATCGGCCGATATTCCAACTGAGACTGCAGATTTACCACAGCACCCACCTGTCGATAGTTCGCTAGTTACATAGTGTTAGTTGGTTTGTTATTCAGTGGGTAGGGTAAAGTAAAGGTGTCCCTGTGCCTAATTACGCACTGAGCCATGGAAACGTACGGAGGAGCGTAAGAATAGCTGAAAGCGTTCTGAACCTCGGCACTGGATGGAGGCGAGTGGTCCCGTGTCGTAGATTTACGGCACGTAAAATATCCTCATGTCTCTAGGAGACCTCTGAGCAAAATTAGGCAACACATTTCCCGCCCAACTAGTTTCCAGTGCCTCTAGTAGATGGGGGAAATATCAGGTACCGAGGGCCGACCTCGTTGGCTGAACATTAGTTACCTATCTATTGCTCTACACTTCTTTGTTGGGCCTTGGCCGCTTTCTCGAATTCTAGAACTTATACACAGTTGGTAGGAATCCTTGGTCGGGGGATCAGCCCGTCGCAAGGCTGCTACTTGCACACAGGAGAGCACAAACAGAATAAACGCACAGACATCCATTCCTCAAGTGAGATTCGAACCCACGATCCCAGTGTTCAAGCTGGTGATGACAGTTCATGCCTTCGACCCCGCGGCCACTGTGATCGGCTAAAGAATTAATTTGTTTAGGAAATAATCGTAGGTCATTCTTTGAGTAAAACGAAAACCAGACGTGGTTCAAGGAAAAATGTCTAGTTATTGTTCAGTAAAGCTAGTGGCTAAGAATAATTATCAGTGCGCTATGTCGAGTTGTAGACTGAGATTGATTTGCCTTTCCCGCTTAGGACGCCTTTGACCTTTCTGAGTCCGAAGCTTGCATTGTTCGTTTGATGGCGTGAAATTTATGTTTGTTGGTCGCCCTTCTGCCTCAGTAGATGTTAACATTACAAATTTGAAATGTTTATCGCTTTTTCTTGTATTAGAGTTCTTTGAATTTCAGGCTTCACTCCCTATGTCTTGCGTAAGCAAACTACCGCTTGGCGAAAGACCTGCATGACGGCGAGTGTGTTGCGATCCTCAGTAGGATACACACTGTTCTTCAGTGTTTTGATTTTTCACTGAAGGCAAACATCCAAGAATGTTCTGACGTCATTCTCCCAGAAGTAGTGCGATTACGTGAACAGTGTAATTCAGGGCTACACCAGCAAATTGGAATATTCATGTTGATAATACGAACGCAATAAATTTGGGGAGTATTATTATTATAATGATTATTATTGGAGGGGATGGGTTTCCCCATGCACCACGACTAATAGTCTGTTGTACGACCCCTTTGATATTCTACCAGTCGCCATACCCTGCCGGTACTGGTGCTCGCTATCAGCCCCGTTCAGCCAGCGAAGCTGGCAGTGGTTCCCAATACTTCCCCATCTACCGGAGGCATTGGAAACTACTTGGGCGGGAAACTTTTGCCTAATTTTGCTCAGAGGTCTCCTAGAGACATGAGGATCTTTTACGTGCCGTATATCTACGACATGGGACCCACGGCTTAAAGTCCCTCCCGGAGGACTTGTTCCCTGAATTTTTCCGCCCTTAAAAATTCCATGACCTCCGCCGGGTTTGAACCCGCGTACCTTGAGTCATGAGGTGAATTTGGTGAGTAAGATCTGATGTTTTCACTGCGGTGACTATGAAGAAAGCAGTATTCTGGGATGTGGCACCGTGTATATGTGGTCGGTTAACACCACATATACACGGTGCCAAATCCCAGAAGACTGCTTTTTTCAATTTGGGGAGTGCTTACTGCCATGTTATGTTATTCATGACGTTTTGTTTCCCATGTTAGGTCTACACACATTAATACGTAACGGTAAGTGATTTTAACAGCCTGTGAGTGTGAAAGTTAGTTTTATCGCAACAAGGGAAGAGTGCTTGAGAACAAGTGCTATAAGGAATGTTCACGTTTAAGAAAAATCGTTGCAAAGACATCTTTCTCAATTTGACTTTGGCTATATGACCTTCTAAACGAAGTCTATTTCTGTTCCGTATACCATTGGTGGCCACTGATTATAAAGGCCAGGACATGTACGCTTTGCATAAACGTTTCTGCCTACATGTTTCGCTTTATTTGGGGTGATGGTCTCCATAAGTTACCTAAAATTTAATCGAAATCGTTTTAGCGATTTTCGA